TCCATGGGCTAAAAAACCAAAAGCCCCGAAAACATTGAGATTACAAGAAACATTTTCAGCCCAACATGAGCCTCGAAGCCTTAAAACTCAATTTAACAGACTGAAATAAATTAAACAAAATAAGGAGCAAGCATATCAACAAAAACGCCTTTGAAACGCAAACGCTACAACATTGCGTCTGGCGTTACCAGCTTCTAAAGTGGTAGATTGCGATTTGAACGTGAAATTCTCTCAGTCGAGAAACATTCGTCCTTCCGTCGTCGTCAAGAAGATCAATTTCATTGAAATCGAAAGAGAGTGCTTGAATCACAGCTTATGCAGACGCTACACCAGTCCCAACTTCTCCATAATTCGGCCGACGCGGCGAACAATCAGTCGGAATCTGACGCGCCGCCGAAACAGGTGGCTCAGGCCATGGAACGACTCAATCAAGCGGCTAGGGTTATCGCCGATATCCGCCTCGGCGCTGACCGTATCCTTGAAGCTATGTTCGTGGCTTCGCAACCTCGTCACACAGACATGCCTCTTCAGCTCTTTCTCAGAGAAGACGCCTCCATGCGTCAACATCTTCAGGATCTTCGCTTAATCGGTGCTGAACCAGAACTGAATCATTTTCATTAGTATTGATTGATTCTCTAGATCAGGGCTTTTAAGGATCGATCATGTTTATTGTTGGTTCAGGGAAGAAATTGGAAGAATCTGGAGTGTTAACTGAATCACTTAGGTCAAGAAGTAACTCATGGGGTCTTCACATGCCTTTGGTTTGTCCAGATGGTGCTGTCGTTGCTTATGCTTGGAAAAGACAGCTTGCTGGCCAAGCTGGTGCTTCTGCTGTTGATAGAACCAGGTATCAGATTCGTTGCTAATCATTTTAACGCATACTTAGGGTTTAGGTTCGAGTCGGCATATTAGGGCTGTTAGTGAATCTTGGTGGTACCAACTTGGAGTTTCATCAGCTAACCAATTCTACTGAATCTCATGCATTCTCCATTTTCTCGTGTTGTGTATAATGACTGTAGGTTAGCTCTCAAGGCCTTCACGGATCAGAAAAGACGATTCTTCCCTCATATTGATGATGGATTAAAGATGGAACCAAGCTCAAAAAAACATCGTGCCTCCCATTTCCTATTAGAAAATGGAAGAGAGGAGCCGGTTGATTACAAAACATTACCAGATATACAATCGCGTTTAGAGAAGCTGGTCCCCAATGTGAAGGTCTCTACTTATGGACGATTGAACTGGCTTAAAAGAGCTAACTCTTTACCTGGGTCAGGTAGTGATGATCCAACAGAAGGATCGAAACCTATTTTCCAGAGTTCTAGTAAGCTGAGATCAGGGTTACAGACTGAAGTTGTCGATAAGATTGCTGTTATTGAGTTATCATTTCCTTCTTTATTCAGAGCTATAGTCTCGTTGAATCCAGCGGGTTCTGTTGATCCAGATGCAGTTGCTTTCTTCTCCCCAGATGAGGTACTCCCAACCTCCTTGCATTAGAATATACTGATACTCATATGAAATTATTTAAAGTACTCATGTTTTTGCTTCATCCCTTCCTTACAGGGAGGCAGCTACTTACATGCGCGAGGCTTCTCGGTTTATCATGTTTACAAACACATGACGGTAATAGAGATGCGATTGCTATTACATATAATTTAAAAATTTTGATTGATTGGGAACTTGCATTAATTAGATTTCCTTGCAGGAACATGCTGCTACGGCCTTGCAATATTTCCTCGGCTTTGGTACTGGAACAGCTCTCTACTCTCTTCTGGTAAAGCATTTTACAAGCACACATCAGTCTCTAGATAACATGAACCTTTTTTTTTTCCTGGAAGTTACTTAACACCTTTCTCTTCTTCTTATGCAGCTATGGATATGCAGTTTTGAATCCCTATTTAGCAAACCTTGCACGTACGCAGTCTCTCCGTAATTCTTCTGGAATATTCTTCTAAAACACTTGTTTTCCATGGACTAACTTTTAATTTCTCTTCTGATGCAGTAAATGTGGAAGGCTATTAGCAATGGATAAAAAGTCTGCGCTAATCTTACCTCCTTTACACCGCGCTTACCAAGAATTGCCTCTTGCATTAAACCTGGACGTTTGTGAAGCTTACCACTCCAGTTGCTCTCAAGATGATACGTAGTACTCCAGTAATTAGGTTAGAACTAAGTTCTAATAACATTTTGTATGGTTCTTTAGTATCTGCTCTTCTCACCTCTTGTTTGTTGTTGATGTTCCATGTTGAGGTTTAGATTAACTTTCTTTCTTTCTATTCTCTGGTAACATGTACTGCAAATGGCAACTGATGACACATGTGAATGTTGTCTTCTTTCTAGAGATTTTATCTGTGAACAACGACTTTTTTTCTTCAACTCTCTGTTCACATTGTTGTTGTTGCAATAAATATCAAAATTGAGAAGAAGACAAAGTGGGTCCTGATTCTTGGTTCCGATCTAGAAATAGAGAAAGATGTTAAATGCAAGATCAGTAAACTAAGTTAATTTAGCAAAGATCAAATAAGATTACGGCTTCTTTTCATAGAGATTTTACATGTGAAACCTGCAACTAACGAGGCAGATAGAAGAAACACTAAATAAAGATAACACCAGAGGAAGTGGAAGGAAGGTACTACATTTACACCACAACACAAGACAACCTTCTTAAACAAAACCAAAGCCAAACAAACTTGTCACTACTTCTTGCCATCTTTAACAGCAACGACCACAATGCTCACGGCACATTCCTCTGGAACCACGGCCATTGACCTCCTAACACCGCATATTGTCCAAAGATACATAGCTGACATTGCCCCTAAGGCTCCACATACTGCACCCAAGACCAAAGTACCAAGCATTCTCCATATACACTCACTTCTCTCTCGGCCCTCTTCCACTTCCGTGGAAACGTCCGGCTTCAAACCTTCATTCGGTCCAAATGGCGTTGGTTGCACCCATATCGGATCAAGATGCCTTATTTCAAAGCTCCATGAATAGAGAAAATGTGGCTTGGAAGAGTTCCCATTAGCAGAGCTTAAACCCACCATGACTTCACCACCTTTCCAAGTCTTCTCCAAGTCTACCGAGAATGAGAAGAACGGATCCAACAGCTTTATCGAACCAGGTTTTCTGAATCGAACCATCATTCTCTTAGAACTTGCCTCATACTCAATCATACAGTTCAAAGTCCCTCCATTGTTCATCATCAAGTCACCAACAAACGAAAGGTTTCTAATTTTAGCAGATTCAGGTCTACCAATTAAGATTCTTGCACGGTTTCCTCTCTTGGAGATATCAAACTCAAAAGCAACAACTGTCTCGTTCTTTGCATACTCTAGTAGAAACCCTAAAGCAGAGGAACTGTAATCTTTCTTACCAAACAGACTAAGATCCAAAGAACTTGGAACCATTACAAAAGCCAAGACATCACCAATCTCATTGGGCATCGAAAAAGAGAAGTAAGTCGAGAAAATAACCGAGTTCCTCTCTTTACCTTTGAATAGATGGATGGGTTTCCTATAAAAGACTCGTCCCTCGCTCTGACTCACTGAGTCAGTCAGCTGAATCGAAGAACTGACATTGACCAGCTTGGAATCTCCAAACAGAGCAACACTCTTGTCAAAACTCGGAGATTTTACGAATCCATCAAACGAAAAAGTGAAATTCACACCTGCTGTTCCATGTATCTGAAAGCATAAAAGGAACAGAAAAGATAGAGTTCTGAACATCGCCATAGCTTAACTGGGATTAAAACTGCTTCTCTCTGATTTAATGGCTACAGAGACGAGCTCTTCTCTCCCTCTCACTCTTCTCCTTCTAAATGGAATTTCTAGGATTCGAGAATGAATTCCATTTTTTCAACAAGTATTTAAGTTTGTTGTTTTCTTGTTTTTGTGTGGAACTATGTGAAGAAAAAGCAAAGGACAAAGTTAAATATCATTAACTCATGCAGAGACCTTGATTCGCTCTCAGTCACACTCACTTTCTCTCTCAATCTTTCATAGTGGTTGCTGACTAAGGTTTTATCATTTAATGCCGTTTCTGATTTATATCCCAATTTTATTACATTCTATCATGTTAAACGTCGATAAATCTTACTGTTTCGTCCGATGGGTATTAAATCGGGAATATATGATTAAAATGTAAAGAAATTATCAAAGCAATCCGAAAAAAAAACGAAACTTCAGAAAATATTAAAGACAGTAACATAAATCTGAATTGGCCAAATCCAAGAAAATTGAGATCCAACATACTAAAAAAGAAGCAACACTTATAATCCACGACAAAAAGGTAAGACCTTAATAGACAAAATCTACTCTTCATCGAACAAACCAAAACCACCCTCATAGTCTTCTTCGTCTGACTCTTCTTTCTTCTCCTCTACCTTAGCAGCAGCTTGAGCACCACCACCACCACCTGCATCAGCAGACACCGCTACTGCAGCAACAGCAAACTTGCTTGGATCCTGCATTCCAAATTTACGACAGTGAGTTAACATAAACAGAATCAATACTCCAAACTTCAGAAATAACATGAAAAGGAGCACAATTTAATGACTAACCTTCAAGAATTCCTTGACCTTCTCTGCTTGAGGGAAGGTGTACTCGGTGGCAACAGCAATAGCCAAGGCATTCTTGTACGCATTGATGAACATATGCGGTGCAGCAGCAAGGGTAGGATAAGAAATAGCAAGAGCCAAGGAAGTAACCATAGAGATACCAGAAGCAAACTTCTCCACAAGTTGGTCTTCTGTAAGATCAAGAACCTCTGGGCTGAAGACTGAGCCATTGTCATAAACAGACTGGACAACAAGACCATATGAGAAAGGCCTGATGCCAAGCTTGGCCAGAAGAGCAGCCTCAGAAGACCCGACCTTGTCACCTTGCTTGATAAGCTCAACTGGGGTGATGATTTCGACAGTACCCTTGTTAATCTTGGTTGGGATGTTAAGAACCTAAACATTCCAAAACCCACATTCATGTTTCAATAACTTCAGATTTTGTAGTCAAATGAATACATTCAAGCATTACAATGTAAGACTAAGCAAACCTGGAAGAAAGATGTTTGGGATGGGTCGAGACCAGTGTTGCCAGGTTGGACAACCACGTCAATTGGAGCAACCAAACCCACACGAGCAGGGGCACCAACCTGATTCATAATAAGAAAAGTTCCATCACATTAAAAAAGCATCAACAATTTAACCCAATAATATTGAAAAAGCTTCAACATATTACACAATCCAATCACATTGAGAAATTAACAACATTTTACACAACTGATGAGCTCTACTTGGGATGACTGTAATACTCATAGCTACAAAGGCTAATTCAGAACATCTATATGTGAAACTAAACTAATGTAAGCAAGAAATGATTCGTCTATGCATCAGATACTATCCAAAGTAACAATCAAACATTCGCAAACCAGATATGAGGGGAAATGAAACAAGATCAATTAGCCAACCTTGTACTTAGCAACTTCCTCGCTCACTTCCTTGAGGTCACCTTTGGTAAAGATCAAACCAACGTTTCCCTACAAAAACAATCGCAAATTACAATCTAAACACAAAAGCATCGATAAAAATCTCAATCATTTCGAGAAGTTCAAATTTTTACCTGAAGGAGAGGAAGCAGATTGAGGATTGCAGTGTTTCCGGTGTTCTCAGAGTGAATCCTAACGGAACGCTTCATCATAGTGTTCTTCCCCATAAGCACCACGGAGTCTCCACGAAGACCCTTTCTGATGTTCTGGAGCTGAGTCGATCCGACGTTATCGGCCGCAACGACCAAGATCTGGGTGTACTCATCGATAAGCTGACATAGCTTGGTGTCGTAGGCGATCTTCTTCTCTGCCTTGGTTGCTTTCACCATTTTCGCTCAAAGGATAAAACCACGATACAAACTCAATTTAACTCTGTGCAGAGAGAGTTTGACGTAAAGAAATTAGGGTTTTGGTATCAGCCATTATATAGTTCACGATTTGGCCTGAGGATAAGGGAACCTCTAGGGTTTTCTTTGTGACCTTAATCTAACGGTTCAAATCTGTTTGCTTCATTGGTGATCTAACGACTCTTGTTTGTTGGGCCTTTTTCGAAATTAAGGCCCATTTCACCAGTAGTGGAAAAGGTAGAAGCCTTTTCTCTCAAAAGGAAGATATAGAACGGCGTCGTTGTATTCGAATGGCAAAATTTAACAGAACAGATACACCTAAACATATGAAGTAATCATGGATTTATATTTCAAACCAAAAATTCACAAACTATTTAAGATTGAATCTCAGGAACAAGTTCATTGATGTCAATTTCCACTAGTGTCTCCTTCCCAAACAAAGTAAATCCCACCGTTGCCTGCAAACACATTTGTGCAAATTGATCAGCTTTTTTATCAACACACAAAGGAGCTAAAAGAAGTTACAAGTTAGTTACCTTTGCAGTTTTGCGGTTTAGTTTCTTTAGGTTGCCGACAAATTCAGCGAATGTCCCTGATAACACTCGAACTGTAGAACCCGCTGCGAGTTTCTTCTTCTTCGCCTTTGAATCCTTTGTTTCAGTAGCAAGTGTAGCCTTTCTCGGGGCTCGTTTCGGTTTAGATTCTGCTACAGCCTCAATAACTTCTGAATTAGATGATGCGAGAAGTTGCTGTGATGCTAGTAAACTCGCTTCTTCTTCTTCAGCACTTTGTGCTTCTTCGAACTCACTGTCTGCCTTCTCTTGCGCTTCTTTTGCTTGTTTGAAAATAGCTTCCAAGTCACTGTCGTCTACAGGTCTTGGTTTATTAATCTGTCTCTTGCTACAAAAAAGAGTGCAGATACAAATCAATTCACAGACCATAACACACACATAGAGTGGGAGTGAGACTGAGAATACTACTCACGTATTTCCAACTTTTGAACCTATGAAACCTCCGACTCCATCAACTTCTCTTATGGAGTCATGTATCTCTTTGTTCAATATACATCTGATGAAAATGCAACCAGGGAACACTGGTTTCGGTTTAACAGATATAGAACCGTTCTTTAGCTTTCTCTTCACTTGAACAGATGGAGCATAAACCTGGACAACCAAATTCAAAAGCCACTTGTTTCAAAACCAATCTATGAATTCCCCACAAATTCTCAAGATGACACTAACCCAAATCCAGGAAAGTTTAGATCTTTAAACATTTTTTCACTCTCAAGATACCATTTTGATCCAATCTCAATGTCAAAATCCAAACTTTCAAAATGACCCAACAACAACCCAAATTTCCAGTAAAATTCGATTACCGTGAATTCCATTTCAGGGAATTGACGAGCCAGAGCTCGAGCTAAGATTTGAGCAGTCTCATGACCACGAAGTCTCGAAACCCTAACCACCCACCATTGCGGACCGGACTCAGCCAAAGTATCCAAATTCAGCTCCTCCGTCCACGTCGCATACCGTTTCTTTGGTTTCTTAATCAACTTTTCTTCAACTTCTTCTCGCCAGCTATACCCCGATTTGCTCTCCCGCCGCTCGTTCCGGAGCTGCCGTCTCTCCTTCGCCGTCAGCTGGTGATTCCGTTCGATAACACAGGCGGAGATAGAGAATTGGGTTTTGTTGATCGGTGTGTAAATCGACGGGATTAAGCTGCTACGACTCCATTGGAGAAGTCCCCCTTGCAGCTTCATCATTCTCTGTTTTATTTTGGGAAAATTCCGTTGATAAAATTCTCTGTGTTATTTCTGAAATTTTTAGGATAATGTTTTGGCAATTTTTACCGGGAACCCGGTTCACCCCAAAATACCGGTATGAAACCAAACCAGATTAAAATTACCGGATTGAAGTAGTAATTAAGCTGAAGTTCATTACAAAGATAATGGTGGGATTTATTAACTTTTTGTATTTTAAAATTTTGAATTGATTAACTATTTTTTTGGAGAACGTCCAGATTACAAATGTTCTTAGGTTATGCAAATTATCAGAAACTGAAATTTAATTCTATATTATATTGAAAACTATGTTCTAGAACAACTTTTAGTTTGGTTCGCTTGGATTCAACGGACGTTCTTTCCAAAAGTATCAAATTAAAACTTGGAAAAGTGACAAAATTTAGAAGATATAATAAATCATATAAATTACTCACAACACACACAAATATTGGTAAACATATGAATGGACTACAATACAATTTCATTAATACAGACTACATCAAAACAAATTTTGAGAGAGCAAAGTAAACAAATTTCACTTAATTTGAGACAAATTTTTGTCTTCTTTGCTCTAAATAATCTTCTTCTTATTGTTTTCAAGAAAACCTTTTTGTATCTAGCCTAACATTTGGGAAGATCCGGTGGTGGCGGTGGCAAGGTGGTCGCCTTGGTAGGTCCGTTCTCAACCACAAGTACCATCCCTAGTCCGAATGGTAAGTGAACATCGATATGACAATGGAAAATCCACGCACCTGAAACAATGTAACCAATATTTAGGTTTCATGCATAAACAACAATAATATATATAGCCTCTGTAAAATACTAAACTATTTAATTACATTTTTAGTATAACTAAGGAATTGGATAGAGAGTTTACCTGGATTATTAGCAGTAAAACGGGTCACGGCCCATCCACCAACAGGCACAGCCAATGTGTTACGGAATTGCGGGTTAACAAGATTTAACTTGCTGCGGTCACGGCTCGGGTCATAATTACCAAACCCTTGAGCCAATACATGGAAATTGAATCCATGGAGGTGCATGGGATGACTCTCCGCCGCAATAAGCGCATGGTTCTGCAACACCACCTCCACCGTCGAGTTGAATTTCAAAATCTTGGCGCTAGTTGATTTTTGAGTGAACAAAAGTCCCGGGTTTGTTTGGGTTACGTTCGGGTTCGTGTAATCGAACTTAACCGGAGGCTGGTCTGGAAAATCCGCTGTGAAAATCCCATTAACGCCGTGAAACACCGCTTCCAAAATCGATAGCTTCTTGGGTAACACGAAAGAGTGATTGCTCATAGAAGCTGAGAATTTTGGACACGTGGTGTTATCTGCGCATGCCTCTAGTCCAAGCCCGATGGTTACGAGCATCTCTTCGTCCACGTGGCGTGGAACTGGAACCCAGTGAGGTCCATTGACTAAGGCAGTGAGATTGGAGTAGAATCTGTGGGCCGTTAACGTGTCGAAGAAGGAAGGTAGTTTCGGCATCAACACCGGCTTTGATCGCCGTGTTTTCGACGCGCCACCGTAGTGGATGACGCCTCTAGTGGTGGTGTTTGGGAAAGGGACGCTCGGAGCGCTGGCGTAAGGATGAGCAGCCATGTAGTAGGAAGTGTCGATGGACTGATCGGCGAAGAGAAGAGCGTCAATGGTTTGGCCAGGTGCGATGACGATGACGTCGGTGACATAAGGTGCGGTGTAGACTGCGTCAGCGGCAACAACTGTCAGTCTGTGATTGGCTATCTTGAAAAACATTTGAATGTTCATCGCCGCGTTTATGATGCGAAGTAAGTATCTCTTCCCTTTCACCACGTCTAGACTAAACATTCCTATTTTTATTCATAAACAAAAAGAAAAGATTAATCTGGAAACTGATGGACTTAATTTTGAAACTGATTAATTAATCTGTATGTGACTCACTGTCTTTGGAGCATGGATATAGGTTTCCGGGAAGGCCATTGATCGTATAAGCGTCGGAATTGTTTGGAGGAACTCCGGTGGCGATTGCTGCCTCCTCTAACGCGACTACATCGGTGTTCCACCATTCACCTGTTTATTAAAATATTATTGTTATACAAACTATTTGTATAAAAAATATTTTTAGAAAAACATAGAAGACTTTAATTTGGCCAATACAATAGAAGTTTCAATTTTAAAAGACAAGGACCAACGTCCTTCGCGTCATTCACCAACTGAATTACTAACGTGTGCGTTCGATTAACTATTAAAATATTTTGATATCAACCAAATACAAAAAGTTGTAAATTGAAGAATAAGACACATTTTTTTAGCATTTAGCAACACATCAGTTTGTTGATCTAGCTTTTAACTGTATAAGTGTATATCCAGATATTTTTGTGTGTGTGTTTTAATAAAGATTTACTATATCGACGCACCGAATAAGATGGGAACTTCTTTGTGAGGTTTGGGAAACGGGTAAGAGTGACCGGATTTAGGTCGGATGACAAGAGCACCGTATACGGTGGCGCGTAGGAAAGACGCGTGAGCGTGCCACCACAAGGTGCCTTCTTGGCCGGTGATGTTGAATCTGTAAGCGTATCTATGGCCAGGCTGTATTGGGCACTGCGTTATCATACTCGGTCCATCTGCCCAAACTGTTAGTCTATGGAAGATCCCGTGCCTGCGTCATGAACACAAAATATATTAAGATATTCATATTTAAACAATTTCATCGAACATAACACAAAAAAATCATGCACTACCGTATAAACTAAACCTATATATAACACACACAAACAAAACATAGAAAATCATTCAATTTGTTGATACTATATATATATATAACGAATTTGAACCTGCAGTGCTGATTTGAACAAAAGAAAATATCTTCTTCTTTTAGAAAAAAACAATTCTGTAATTTCATAACCCGAAAACCGTTAAAATAAAGAAAATAAGAAGAACGGAAATGATTACACTCCAAGTTTTTTTTTTTTTTGTTTTTCTATTCCGAAAACACAATTGAATACTATGCGAAAAAAGTTAAACAAATAAGAGACTGTGAAAGGGTAACGTCTCTAGTAAAGTCAAAAAAACCAAAACGTAATCATAGATATTAGTTAAGCAATTATTAATGTTAGACGAGGTTAATTCATTAGTTAAGCAATTAAAATAAAACGAGGTTAATTAAATAATCGAGTACCAATGAATTGTGATGTTGTGAGGGGAATTGTTTAGGACGTGAATAACGAGCGAGTCACCCTCCTTGACGCGTATTGTTGGTCCAGGTAGGCTTCCGTTAACTACCGTTATCAATTGCCGTTTGCACAGCCTAGACAGCGTTAAGTTTTGTACCTGGCAAAATCCAAGTATCTCACGTCGTTAGCGAAATCGCTAGGTCAATGGTCGTACTAGTTGGTAAAATAAACTGATCATATTTCACAATATTCTAAGATTATAAGATCAAATAAAAAACATTTGGCAAACACATGAATTTCATTTTCAACTTATATAATCTTGTTACAAATTTTGAACCGATACAAAAATAATCAACATGTCAATAAAACAATATATCTAGTTTTTTTATGTAGTGATATAAAATAGATCAAATAATATACATGCCAATATAAATCAATATTAGAGGAAGAAGATATGAGGCAAGAAAGAAAAAAAGGAGGAGACAATTACGTTGAAGGTGTGTTCGACAATGGCGGCAGAAGCTATCGAAGAGACTGCGAAAAGAAATAGAGCGCAAGCAAGAGAAACCCTAACACCCTCCATCTCTAGAGAAAAAAAGATGAGGGAGAGCTAGTAGAGAAAGAGAGAAACGTGTTATGGAGATATTGAAGCAACGAGACTTGTGGTTCTACTTAATAATTTATAGAATGCAGAGTGGTAACTAACGAAGGACTAAATATTTGATGTTAATTAGGGTTGTCTAATATAATGGTTTGAATATACAATTATTCCATGATTCTCAATATGTGTTATTATATTTATATTTTGGTTGTTTGGTTTTCTTTAGAACTTTAACTAGCTACGTAAGTTCTATCCAATGTTACTGCCACATCATTTTGATAGTTTTTCAACTTTCGTAGTTCGTTTCTCTTTTATTATTTATTTTTGTGTGAAATATTGTTGTTTAAAAATGGCTATAGAAGATTAAACTAAAATACGATATGTTTTTATATAATAAAAAATCCCTTACAATTATTAATAGCTAGTGTGTAATTTAAATAATAAATGTATAGTCAATTCTTCATTTTAATGTATGCTTCTTAAAATTTGTTTATGATTTTTTTGCATAATTTAGAACTAATTTATATATATGGACCAGACCATCGACCACTGTTCTCTAGCATAATCAATTAGGTGTTTGTATATTTGTCTACGTATGTGCATGTGTTTATGTAGATATTGAAATATTTCTTGCTAGCGAAGCTAAATGCCCATAAGTAATTTTCAATCTGTTAGTAGAGACATCGTTGTCTAAATTTCTAACAGCTGATTACTCCCTTTATTATTTTAGTTTATATTTTTTCATAAACAAATTACAAAAGTCATCAAATTCTTTGCTTCTCAACACAATCAACCTCAATTCAATATAATTCGTATTACAAGTCCAATATAGACAACTACTTATCTAATTTGACATCTAAGTAACAACCACAAATTTAGTGACAGATTTATAATAAAACTGAACATTTCTGAATTTGCAAAATCCATGTAGCGATGAATATATTTAATATCAAAAATAATCCAAATCTAAAGTTAAACATTGAAAAGGTAGAAACAACAAAACCAGTGGTCCGTATCCAAGAATCATAAGAGATCGTATACTTAAAATTAGTTCATCGAATTCGATAAAATTATGGAATCAACGAATCCAAAATTTGCTTTAGACTTTTATTTAAATGCAAAAACAATACATGCGACGCACTCCAGGCACAGGCCAATGGATTTTGTCTCAGAATAATATGACAGTTGTAGTATTATTGTGAAATTATTTTTTCAACTATTGATAAAATTCATTATAAAAAGTTCCCACTATGATATTAATTTGTTTACTTACATATTTAATTTTATAAAATGAAGAATTTTGCTTCGTGCATAGAAACGGTCCATATGTTTCATCAAGTTGAAACTTGAAAGCATCCAATCCAAGTCAACTTTACAATACCTTCGAGAAACGTGTTGTATTTTTTTGTGTAGATAACTTATACAGTTTCTATATACGTTTCACATAATCATATCTCTGTATGATTTTTTTTCCCTAGTCAACATCATATATGTATAACATAACTCTCTCCTTTTACTACAATATCTGTCTTTTTCTTATAATATTGGAGGCGACAACTGTTTTCTCTCGACCTAGTTGTTCCAGTTAATCATTCTTTTACGAGATCAGTATATACAGAGCCGTAGCAACGATTTTGAGGGCCACATGCGAGGAAAAAAAAAGGATCGCTCTAAAAAGATGCATAATTGTAAAGAAACTTAAGCAAAAAATGTCTTTAACAATGTCTTACAAAATATTGTTTTAAAACAACAAAAGATCAACAAACTACTCTTTAAAGATTATTCTACTCTTTAGGATTCATGAATCGAATTGATTCATGAAACATCTAGATATCTAAACTACTAAATTTATCAACAAAACGTGAATTACCATGACAGGGAAGACAAATTTATCAACCGGATTTCAACTAGTATTTAAAATTATTAAATGCAGAATACATAGTTTTAAAGAAAACACAAATCTCCAATAATTTCCAAAAATAGAAAATTGTAAACATCTCAAAATTTGGGTTGATAAAAGACAAAATAATGAAAGATGAGACGATATTGTTATCTCATTAACATGAAACGAATTATTTTGTTATTTACTTTAGAAATTTAACGGTGAATGGTAAACCAGAAGTCTAAGATTCTAGCCTTCTTGGGTAGAGAAAGAAGTTTCCTTATCATTTTCATCATCCATCGAATGGGTCATAAAGAGGCCTGATATAGTGAAGAATGGGCTTCAATAGGCCCAATAAAAGTAGTAATGAAATTTCCCGCCATAGAAGAAAGTCATCAACTTCCGAAGATCTTCCGTTTTAAGTGAATTACCTAAATATCCCACAAAAAAGGTTGACCAAAAGTTAAGACAGAGGATTACATTAAAGGGTAATAAAGTAAATGGCATTTAGAAGGGTGAAAGAGTAATTAAAAGATCCCCCGAAACACAAGCCCTACGAATCTAGTCGAAAGAGCGAGTGTGTTCACGCGACCTCAACGAGACCCAACGCTTTTACAGTTAAATCCGGTAGGTGAGAGAGAGAGAGAGAAGGGAAGCTTATGGATGCAGAGATCGTGAGACGATCGGAGACGACGGGAGTAAGAAGGGAGGTGGAAGAATCGGCGGAGGTGTCAGGTGACAGAGGAGATTGCGCTGATGATGGCGGCGATGTGGGAGAAGGGACGAGCGGGAGAGGAGGAAGAGAGCGAGTTAAAGGGCCGTGGTCGCCGGAGGAGGATGGTGTGTTGAGTGAGCTCGTTAAGAAGTTTGGAGCGAGGAATTGGAGTTTGATCGCTCGGAGTATTCCTGGTCGTTCAGGCAAGTCTTGTCGTCTCCGTTGGTGTAATCAGCTCAATCCAAATCTTATACGCAATTCATTTACTGGTATTTCTCTCTTTTGCTAGTTTTCGATCTCAATTGGTGATTCCATGTTTCGATCGGAATGTTCTTGTGATCTTTTTTTTTTCTTGAATTTTGATTCATCTGTGTTGAATTGAGGAATCTAGGGTTCTTATGCTGTCTTTTCGAGAACTGAGCAACCTTGTGGTTGGTTGTGAAATGTGAACTTGGCTGCGAGATCACTAGTCCGTTTCGATACAAACTGAAAGAAATGTTTTTTTTTTAAGAAAAGAGTAGCCTTTGGATCTTTGTTTTAAAGTTTGAGATTTTAAGTTTTTGTGGACTTTGCTCTGCTCCTTGAATCCCAAAAGAACAACAAAGTTAGGTTGAATACCATTTGACTACCTCTAGTTGTATTGTTATAGCTGATCGAAACACGGTTTATTTAGGGGAAATTACTTAGCTGTAGATTTTTGTTTGAATTTGGTGTTGCGAGGTACAAGTTCCTAAAGGTGTGTGTGCATTAGAAGATTACTCCCAAGTTTCTGTGTTCTTGTTTAATAACATTGCTTCTGGAACACTAAACCAGGCACTTCTTTGTTCTCTTTTTTTTGGGGTTTATGAAGAGGTAGAAGATCAGGCTATCATCGCAGCACATGCCACCCACGGAAACAAATGGGCTGCAATCGCGAAGCTCCTCCCGGGAAGAACAGATAATGCTATCAAGAACCACTGGAACTCCACTTTAAGACGTCGATTCATGGACTTTGAAAAGGCGAAGAATACAGGAACTGGAAGCTTAGTCATGGAAGATTCTGGATTTAACAGAACGACTACAATAGCCTCATCAGAAGAAACTTTATCTTCAGGCGGTGGTGGCCATGTAACTACTCCAATTGTTTCTTCAGAAGGCAAAGAAGCTACCTCCATGGAAATGTCTGAAGAACAATGCGTAGAGAAATCAAACGAAGAAGGTATTTCTAGGCAAGACGGTAATGATCCTCCAACGCTTTTCCGCCCAGTGGCTCGGCTCAGTTCTTTTAATGCTTACAATCATATGGAAGGATTATCTTCTCCACATATACAAGACCAAAATCAGCTCCAATCATCTAAACAAGACACAGCAATGCTAAGATTGCTTGAAGGAGCTTACAGTGAACGGTTTGTGCCTCAAACATGTGGAGGTGGTTGTTGCAGCAACAATCCCGTTCAGCAAGACTCATTGTTGGGTCCAGAGTTTGTGGATTACTTAGACCCACCAACGTTTCCGAGTTGCGAATTAGCTGCTATAGTAACGGATATAAGCAGCCTCGCTTGGCTGAGAAGCGGTTTAGAGAGTAGCAGCGTGAGGGTGATGGAAGAAGCAGCTGGTCGGTTAAGGCCTCAAGGCTCAAGGGGTCATCGAGATCATTATCTTGTATCTCAACGGGGGAAGAACATAACCAATGTCCTGTCCACATAAAAACTGGCAGAACAAAAACAGAGTCTGAGATTTTTCTTTTATTTTTTTGAGATTTCTTTACATTTATTTTTTATTTACTCTTGATCTCGGAGAGCTTGAGTTTTACTTGTAAGTTGCGATGTAATTGAGTAAAAATAGTTTCTATAGTTCTGAAATCGAGTAGAGACCACAGTGTCTTCAACTTCTTTGTGACTTGTTTGGCGTCTGCATTAACATATCATAATGGTTGTTTCACTTTGCAACATGCCTTCACAACAAGCCGACAATGATGATCAATATCATAACACTGCCAATTAGTGTGAACGTGTAGTAAAAAACACCACAATCCAGTTAAGATCTAGGGAAAACGGCAAGAAAATCCGGGTTTTAGCACACAAAAACTGATGATACACCAAGATTCTCTCAAATCAAGTCAAAGAAGCAAACATGTATAAAAGTTCTATGTGTGTATTCACATTTCTAAATACGTATATGTATACGTATGCAGAGAAAGAATCTGTACAAATCTGGCTTTTTTTTTTGTTGTTGATGTTCTTGTTGCTGTAACTCTAAAAAGCTTCGAGAGAAGAGCCATGTCTAAGAGCTTCTTTAGCTTCAGCCTCCATTCCAAGCTTTAAAAGACAAGCCGATTGTAAGTAGAGAGCGATTGAAAACTCTGGCGATGCGACCTGAGCTTGCATCGCATCACTTAGAGCCTCGCGGAACATATAGCTCATTAGGTAACATAGACACCGTCTGGCTAATACTGTTGGTGATACCACTGGTGCTCCACTCATGAACTGTTTATACGAAAAAAATTCATATCTTTATAGATAATGTAAAAGAAGATGGTTTCTTGATGATTCAAAATGATACCTCTGTGTAAAATTCGATTGCTGTTTCAAAATCTTTAGCACGAAATGCGGCATCTCCATGCTTCTTGTAATCCATATTCTCTTGCATTTGACCCGTCCACATTTGGAATGAGAACTGCAGCATTTTTTTTTTCTCACGATGTGATATTGAGATGTGTCGAAAGAGATTATGTTTCTCTAAAAAATATAAATATGTACCTCATTTGTGACCACCACATCATCCTCTCCATACCCGAGTTTCTCGAGTAGTTCGTGTATACCACTCAGATCCACTCTCCAGCATGCTTCTCCGAAAGGGGTCAAGCGCAATGGCTCCTTTGTTGCAGGTTTAGTGTCTGATGGAGTCTGTCATTATGAAGTCCCATGTACACATAAGAAAGTCTGCAGAAGCGGAAACCTTGGAAGATTTAATGTAGTCATGACTTACAGGAATGTTTTCTTCGTTGACGTTGGGCCATAACTCAGCTCGTTTCTCAAGTCTTGAAAGAGCAGACATAAGAAACTTTATACTTGGTCTCTCGTCTGGTTTAGGCCGGAAACAGCGGGAAGCTAGATGGATTAGTTCTGTTCTATCCTCATCAGAGAATTGACCATCCAGAGCTGAATCCATTAGCACCAAATAGTTTTTACCACGGAATAGATCAAGTGCCTGGAATGGCAGAAAAACTAAAATTCAATGAAACAGCTCAAGATACATCATGTATATAGTATAAATCATGCCTCAGGATGCAACTTATCACAGTCTAGTGAACAAAGAGCCAATTTACTTCTACTATTTGACACCTTGAGGACCAAGAGACATTCTGCTTTGTGAGAAGAAAGTTACATGGTTAGGTGGAATATGTCTGCCGCTCATAAGATCCAGTAACAAGGTCCCGAAGCTAAATGTGACACTCTCCGGTATCACAGTACCTAACAAAAGAAGAAAAAAACTTGTATGAGATTTCAGCTGATGAAGTTTTCTCTGGAGAAAATTAAATGTAAAACACACACCTAGACGTAAATATTCAGGAGGAGCAAATGCCAAGTTGGTACTATAGCTCTTTCCCTCTCGGCTACACTTCATGAGACCGAAACAAGACAGCCTAGGATTCCCAACCTGTTCCAACACTTATATAAATAACTTATGATAATGATTACTGTCATCAAACGGACCGCGTATGAAATATCTTTAGAAGAGAAAAACCTTATCAAACAATATTCTGTAGGTGTTAAGATCGTGATACAAATCTATTCCCATATCATTACAGTACTCCAAGGCTGTTGCAGTATGTAACGCAACCCTTAATCTCATTTCCCATTTCATTGGTCTTTTCTCCCCTGAAAAAAAAAACCTATTTTAGAGTCACACAATAAGGAAACTCTATAGTAAAGTTAAGGCCAAAAGAGATGAGAGTTAATCATCAAGAAGTTAAAAAGTTGAGACTCACAGTGAAAGAGATGCTTAGCAAGTGTTCCATTAGGCATGTACTCAGCAACGAGCAACCTCTCGTGACCTTCTGAGCAACAACCGATCAAATTGGCCATATGCTCACTCCTACACCTCCCAACAGCTTGTGCTTCTTCCTGTAAAACAAGTATGCCACATTCAAGAAATTTGCCTCTGCAACAGACCAAGCTTAGAATATTTACCAAGTCAAAAAGATTTGAAAGTTGTTTCCTCTGCAACATCAGAATCCAGAAGAAGTATCACGGAAATAACAACCAATAAAGTCAAATCAGATGAAACAATCGGCAAAACTTTGGGCTTCAAGCTTAAGATCACTAGTCAAATCTTATGCAATTCACTAATTTCATCCGATTTAAAACCTAATTCAATTAAAGTGAAGGACCAAACGAATCAATAATGGGTAAAGGACGAACGGTGAATTCGAAAGAATCAGGCCATGAAAGCCTTTGAAACCGTTTGACGGCGATCTTTCTTCCGTCTTTGAGCTTCCCTTTGTAGACGATGTTAGGAACCCTCTCGTTGTGCTCCGACACGATGTTGCCGGCGGAGAATCCGTCAGTTGCGACTCTCAACTGTTCCAAGCTGAATTCCCGGAAAATCGGACAAGTACTTCCTTCATCTTCTTCGTTGTTATCTGCAGAGAAACTATTAGGTTAGTTCTCGATCATCGTCTTCTTCAGAATCTAATTAACGCAAAAAGAGGAGTGGCTGCTGGCGAATTCGTCGGATTTTACCTAGATCGTCGATGACAGTGACGGTGGATGTAATCGACGGAGAAGGCGATCGACGCCAAGGTTTGAAACAAATGCAGCCCATCGTCGGTGATGAAGAAGGTCGGTGACAATAGTTTCACCGGTGGAGAAAAACTTGAAGTGCTTGGTTAAAAAACTCCCGCCTCCGGCAAAAAATAAATTATTGTTTAAAGAAATAAACTCATATTTTTTTTTTCTTTTTCCAAGAGAATATTTTTGGAAAGTTTTACGGAGAAAGTGGTAAAATAGACAAAATCCTTATTTATATAACACAAAATTAAATAGTTTTATTTTTTTTTTTTAATCGACAAGGTCCGATCTAGGCCTGGGCATTCGGGTCCGCGGGTCGGGTTCGGATAAAACCCGATCGGGTACGGGTATGTCGGGTATGGTAATCTAGGACCCAATAGGGTAAACTGAAAATAACGGTTCGGTTTCGGATCGGGTATGGTCGGGTTCGGGTCGGTTCGGGTATCAAATTTCAGAACCGGTAAAAATCCAAAAAATTCGGTTCTTGCTTGTTTTGGGTCGGGTACGGGTATTTTCTACCCGTTTACACTGTGGTATAAATTTTTTACATTGTGGTTCTTCTGTTACACTCTAATTGAACAGAATAAAACCTAAAGCATTTAAATACGTCTTAAACATCCAATTCAAATCATCCAAATATAAAGAGTTAAAAGTCTTAAAGACATAAAATACATAGAACATTTCAAATACACATGATTCAAATCCAAGAAAAAAAGACAAGTTGACAAGAAGAAGTGCCGAAGTAGAAAACTGGAGAGGACACATTACACATTCATGAAAACTAGAAGTAGACAATCTCACTCTCCTTGACCCGCATGAACCTATACAAGTAAACAAATGTCAGAGACTCAGAAATCAGCATGCAATCTCACTCTTACATAATCTATGTATCTCACTCACGTTGATGACTAACCTTTGTATCTCACTCATTCATTTTAAAGGCTATCAGCTCCTTGACCTTGCATATTGAAAACAAATTCTGGTTCACCTAGTTCATGCTCTATAAAAAAATGAAAGAACATGAATTAGAATCACAATATCATAACATGATGTTAGAAGTAAAAAGAGAATAGAATCAGAACTTACTTCTCATAAGATCATCTTCCAACGTGATGTCCTTAAGTAGTTGTTGTATTGTGGAGACGCCTCTTTCATTGATATGGATTTCACATTTTAGCCATTGCTCAACGCACATCAACACTTCCACCATGTAATGTGAGAGACAGCTCCTGAAAGGACTCACAACTCTACCACTTGTGCTAAATGCGGATTCTGATGCTACGGATGAGACTTGCATTGCAAGTATATCTTTAGCAATGAGTGAGAGAATCGGATACTTCCCAGTATTGACCTTCCACCAAGATAACAAATCATATTCTGTGCCTTTTAGAATGACTGGAGTCTCCACATTCTCTTTCAAATACACGTCCACCTCATTAGATGTATTGCTCAATCTTGTTTCCTTCACAATCTCATCAAACACGTTTTCCATATTTTCATATAAAAAACCATTACGCAAAACTGGTCTCTCAGAAAAATCACTTGCACCTTGATCTTGAGACTGAGACTGACTCTGGCTCCATGCATTTTCTGACTGCGTAGATGACCCAGCAGTACCACTACCACTACCAGTTTTATTAGCTAAACTGTTTCTTGTATACTCATCATACAAATCAGTGATGATGCCATAAACTGAATCTGAAAGATGAGTAGCCTCCACAGTACCTTTACCATATAGCCTTTCAAAACATAACTCAGCAAATTTCATTTTCTTCCTCGGGTCAAACACACTTGCCACTATCACAAGTCTATTCATTTCAACTTTCTCCCCAAATGCATCCCAATACTTACCCAACTTTGCTAACATAGCCTCGGCTTTATTCTTTAGGCCATCATCATTGTATCTTAATGCACCTAGGTTTCTAGTAATGGAAACTATCTCATTGTAGAGTTTATGAGCTGCAACATAGTTTGAAGCTGAAAGAACAAATGTGGACTTATAGAAAATCTCAAGAATCTGAACTAACCTGTCAACTTTCTCCCAGTCATCTCTCACAGCTGGTCCAATCCTCTTTGTTCCATCCTCTTTTTCCTGAAAGTAATCATTATATGGTTTATCCTCAGCCTCCATCCTCTCAAATGCTACACTGAACTTTAGAGCTTGGTCTAGCATGAGATATGTCGAATTCCATCTGGTCTTGACATCTAAAGGTAGGCTTCCCCTTTGCAGCTTCCCTGTTTCAACTCTAAAATCAAAAGATTTCAGTCTAGGTGTCGAAGACCTCACATAGGTGATGCCATTGCGAATAGCAGCCACACAGCTATCAATCTCTGTTAATCCTTCCTTCACCACCAAATTCAGAATGTGAGTAGCACACCGCAAATGCAAATACTCACCTTTAAGTATCAAAGCTTCACTTCCATACACCCACAACATTTCTTTCTTGAATTTGGTCATAGCTGAACTATTGGCTGTAGCATTATCAACAGTGATGCAGAATATTCTCTTTATACCCCACTCAGCTAAACAAGCCATAAGAGTATCACATATTGTCTGAACCTTATGATCTTCTACATGCTTGAAGCTTATTATCAACTTCTTCAACTCCCACATATTATCAATAAAGTGAGCTGTTACTACCATATAACTAGCTGAAGTATTGGGACAAACCCATATATCTGTAGTCAATGACAGCCTCTGCTTATTTTTCTCGATAATCTTCTTCATGGCAGCTTTCTTAGTGACATAAACCTCAACAATCTCTCTTGTAGCTGTTCTCCGAGAATGAGGCTTATACAATTGAACTTTGGAGCAAAAATGTCTCCAAGCTAAGCACTCTATAAAAGCTAATGGTAACTCAGCTAAAACTAACAGCTCATTAGATGCTTCTTTAAAAACTGCTTCACTGACCTTACTAACCCTAACACAACCACCAGGACCATCAGGAGTTAAAACTGTTTGAGTTTGATGTATATTAGCACTTTTCCATACCTGGAATGCCTTGCAGGTATTTTCAATATGCTTCTTCAACGTGGAGGTTCCAGACTTGGTTGGACACGCTAACTCTTTCCCATAGTAATTACAATTACATTTGTCTGCAACCTTCTCTTTTCTGGTGAAATGATCCCAAACCCAAGACCTTGCCCTCTTAGTTGACTTACAACCACTACCCCCTGCCCCTGCATTGTCTTTCCTCTTGTTTGCCTTGCTAGAAGTAGGAGTTTCAAACTCTTCGTCTGTCATATTATCTTCATGGTCCATTGGAACATTTTTATCTTTTGGTTCATCACAAGACGCCATCTGCAACTCAACACAATTCAAAGTCATTCACAATTCAAAGACAAAAAAAATTGTGTCATTCAAAATTAAAAGACAAAAACAAATGAGTGGCTGTCACAATTCAAAGTCATTCTGAATTCAAAGACAAAAACAAAGTATTAAGACAAATAAGTACTTTTCTCTTAGTACTTATCAGAGAGAGATCATGGACTAGTGAAACCGGAAATTACCTCTGAACGGTTTCTCGACAAGGCGGACGGTGGAGAAGTGACCAGAGACGGTGTGGGGTTTGTCGTTTGAGTTTCCAGGTTTGAATCGAAAATGAAAACTGTGGTAAATGATGATTGATAAAGGAGAGAGTAGAGAACTAGGGTTTTTAATCGGCGGGAATAGAGGAATAGAGGAAGCGAAGAATCGACGGGAATAGAGGAAGCGAAGAAGCTAAATCGACAAAAGGTAAAGTGGGTTTGAGACTAAAACCTAAGCTAATCGGGTTTTCGGTTTACACCATCGGGTATCGGGTAAAACCCGAACCCGACCCGATACCCACAGGTAAGTAATAATAGAACCCAGCAGTGTAAAACTTACATACCCGTACCCGCCCCGAACCGGGTTTTTCGGGTCGGTTCCGGTTCGGGTACTCGGGTACGGGTTTTTTGCCCAGGCCTAGCCCGATCCATAGCCAATCCCTATTTCGCGGGGTAACGCGATTTACTGGAGTCGAACTCCGATGGGAAAAGCGAAATCAGGTAGACTTAACCACTTGACTAAAGGCACGTCCCCCACAAAATTAAATAGTTGAAGACCAATATATACTGTTTTTTTGAAAAGATCAACGTTTATACTTTATACAATTATACGATTATTTAATAAGGATAAAATGTCGACATGATCTTGTATAATAATATAAAGGAAAATTTGTTTGCTTGTTCCATTTAAATTCCTCCGTATATTGATCACTTTTGAGCGTAAACATTACAGATTTTTTTTATTTTGGAAAATAATCATTAGATTACGAATTGTTGAGTTTCGTCTTCATTTTAGCCTCAATTTAAAGTCTATATCCAATGGACCAATGGATCGTCTTACATACATTCATTCCATTTACGTTTAAACAGAAAATATCTCTTTAGAAAAAAAAACAGAGAATATCTCAATTAAACAAATTTTTGCTAGTTACCGCAGCTTTTTGAGACCGGGTGTGTAATATATCCATCACACTTACCACAATTTTTTTTATATAATCCATCCACACGTTTAGCAACATTTAAGCCATATATCGTTATCAAATCGTTTTGGTATATTTTGCTCATTACTGGCAATATTCACTCTAGAAAGTCTAGTGTAAAGTAATGGGACGCTCGTTTAGGTGACTTAAATAAAAAAAATTAAGAGAAAAAAATAATATCTTATTATTAACCAAAATAAGTATAGGCCTAAATACTAGTTAGCCAATGGACCATTTATAATAAACTTTGGGCCCTAAAGCAAGGCCCATTAAGTTTATCCTAGGAGTCTCAAGTCTCTCGTCTCTTTGAGCTTTCACATGGCTTGATTGATCTCCTGGTCGCGAAAATTGATCTCTTTGAATATTTTGATTCCTTGTTTCCATGGCGCTTCATGGGTCTGGAGTTTTATGCAAAGTAAGCTATAATTTCTCTCTTTGTGATTTTCTTCCTTGATTCTGAAGCTCCAATCTATGCTTATCTGTTTATCATTCGTTTTTCGTAATTAGTCTTGAAATTTAGTCGATTTTCATGAAGAACCCATTAAGATTGGATGGTTTATGGTTCATATGCAGAGTTCTAAACTTGTCTGGTGTGAGAATTCTTACGGATTAGGTATTGTACTAAGATTAAACCCTAGAAGAAGTATCTGAAGTCTTCTTCAGGATCCGAACTTGTTGTTACTCCACTTGAGCAATTTTGATCAAAATGGTTCTGTGAGTCTATTGTTGTGCTTATCTGGCCTTGAATTTGCTCCCTGATAGGTTTCAAACATGGTAGAGATCACTTCTCTGTTTGGTGGTTCGATGAGGCTGCTTCACTTGCCTAAATCTTATCCGATTCATTGCAACATGGTTTCAGCTAGCAATACATTCGGTTCTGGTCATCTCAAGCTGCAAAACAAAGAACCGTGTGAGTTTTACTCTTACAAGTTGCGGTCTGAGTGCTTGGGCTACTTGATTTAAGTTCTAGCATCTTATCTAGTAGAAGATCTGGTTTTGGATAAGACCTGTTTTCTTTAGTCTTGGTTCTGATTAATGTTACTGTAACATTTGAAGCAGGCTCCCGTTTTAGGCCTTGTCGAGTCAAACGTGAAGACAATAACCAAACTGCGGATGTTAAAAGCATTTCAGTAGATGAGACCACGTTGAAGCAAGATCTCGAGACTGCGATCCAGGAAGAAAACTATGTGGAGGCAGCTAAAATCCGGGATAAACTAAAAGAGCTTCAAGAAGACAACAAAGCCTCTGTTTTATCAGCCAATTCTCGGTTCTACCAATCTTTCAGAAACGGGGATTTAGCTGCAATGCAATCTTTGTGGTCAAAATCCGGAAACCCGTGCTGTGTGCATCCAGGGGCCAAAGGCATAACTGGGTATGATTACGTGATGGAAAGCTGGGAATTTGTGTGGATGAACTACGAGTTTCCGTTACAGATTGAGCTGAAGGATGTTGAGGTTCATGTCCGAGGCGAAGTAGGTTATGTAACGTGTATGGAGTTTGTGAAGACGAAAGGGAGTAGTAGTTGGGGAGCTCAGTTTGTGTCGAATGTGTTTGAACGGATCGATGGGCAATGGTTTATATGCATTCACCATGCTTCTCCTGTTGATATTTGATCAAAGAATCGCAGAAACGATACACAATTTCAAAGCGTTTTCTTTTATGTGCGTTTGGAGGTTGCGGTGGGATATGTTGGCGGTTGCTTAAGAGTGATGAAGGACTGTTTTTATTTCTCCATTGGCGATTGGGACCGAAAACGCCACACAAAGAAGAAAAGGCATAAGTTCTGACGTTTGTACTAGAATTATGAATCATTTGTTTTGTGTTATGTTCATGGTCACAATGCAAAGGTTGGAAATTCGGAATGGCACATAGTCCGGCTTGGTTCGAACCACATGACTTTGATAATGCACAAGACGTCCATTGAGAGTGCACTTGACTTTATGCTTGGATGGTAAAACAATTTTGTTTTTGTTTTTAAGGCTACTTTATGCTTGGATGGTAAAACAATTTTGTTTCTGTCTCAACCAATTGACCTATATAATACAATTTGGATTGGTTGAAGAAAATCACACTGTCTAGGAGGTAAATCAGGTTTTCCATTCTAAAGTTTCACATTTTCTTCCACATCATTTTGAAATACTCCTTCTGTAAACTATAAGCTTCGTTTCATATATAAATATCATTTTGAATCTAAAAGGTAAATAACTTCACATAGCGACTTCTAAAGGATCATTTTATTTAATCAGAGCTCTTGTATATCTGGCAAATCATGTAGACATTGAAAAATGAAAAGAAAATAAACTCTTTTATTATAACCAAGACCTCATGAATCTTGGTCAATCACAAAGAAAAACATAGGAAATTAAAGACACATTGAAACAGAAAACCAAATATAGCTTAAAGCTCATCCTTCTTGATCGCTGATGGACGAACACCTTGACTGAGGAACTCCTTGTAATACTTGCCGGATTCTTTCTCGTAACGTGTGAGGTTATTTTTGAAATCAATGTAGTAGAGTCCGAATCTGTTTTTGTAACCATCTTGCCACTCGAAGTTATCCAACAATGACCATACAAAGTATCCTGTAACATTCACTTTGTCGATGCTGCAGATATTACACAAATATTTTGATTAGATTATTCACTACTATCGGTAGTCTATCATATGAAAAGGAAATATAGGACTTACCAAACAGCTTCTTGCATACTCAAAAGATGCCTCTGAAGATAATATTTCCTGTTGTGATCAGCGGTACCAACAGCGATCGAATCTGAGGCCCCAAGTTCTTCTCCGTATCCTAGAGAAGAACATCAAGATCAATATATTTAGTTCTAAAATAAAATCAACCAAAAAGAAAAGTGAATAATAATAATAGAATCTCTAGTTACCGTTTTCCATGATCATAATTTCGGGATTTGCGTATTTATCCTTGATGTACTTCAAAAGACTTCTAAACCCTCTCGAGTAAACGTTCAATGCAGCGGTCAAAGGCTAAAAATAAGAAAGAGGTGAGAATGTTACATTATAGACAAATGTACAACATAAAAATATACAACTTCAGATTGCTATTAGTCTAAATTAAATGCATACCTTGCTACCAATGGAGTAATTTTGCGGATTCTTAGCTGAAAAGAAGATAGATTCTGATTAATACTAAAAACAAATATTTTCCCTTTGATTTGTTGCCATTGGTTTTCTTGGTTCGGTTAAGTAAGGGAAAAACAAACTTACACTCCCATGTAATAAGAGAATCTTGCATCCATCTTGGTTTTGAAGGATCAGGTTTCTCCAAATGGTTTGAAAACACCGAAGTATAGTAGTTGAGCCCAACGAAATCGGTAGAATCTTTCAATTTTGCTTTCTGCTCAGTTGTAAATTTGGGCAATCTATGTCCAACAATGTCTTTCATGATCTGTGGATAATCTCCAAACGTCGTTGTGTCTAGATGCCTACAAAATTAATCAAAAAAATTACAAGATATTTAGTTGTACTAATTAATAATATTAGGGATATTATAACTTAAAACTTACCATCCCAAAATAAAGTCAAGTGCACGGTCGATGGACGCACCGTCTTGTGAATCAGCAAGGTCATGTGCTTCGAACCAAGCCGGACTATGTGCGATTCCAATCTTCCCACCTTTACACTGTGGTCATAATAAACATAACACAAAACAAACTATTTTCAGATCCGAAAGACGATAGATATAAGTCATTATGATTTATATATGATGATTGATGTATACGTACCTTTTCGCATTTTCTGTAAGCTTCAACGGCTTCTGCGTGAGAGAGAAGGAGATTGTGAGTGACGAGATAAGCCTCGTATCCTGATCGTCCGTCTTGGCATTTAGCATTGACGTAAGAAGAGCAACGTCCAGGTGCCTTTTTGCCTACGTCATAACCAGCGTGCGAGAAAACCCATGGCTCATTGAAAGTGATCCAATGTTTCACTTTTCCACCGTATTCTTGGAAAACAAAGTCTGCATACTCTCGGAAATCCTTCCTGAGATTGTTGTATATATATATATATCACCATTTTTCTTTTATGTGAATTTATCTCGTAGTAGAGTTATAAAAAAAATAAAAAAAAACTTACACAATCCTATCGCTTAAAAATCCGCCATATTCGTCTTCTAAATCTTGTGGAGTGTCCCAGTGAAAAACAGTAACGAATGGAGTTATACCTAATTAATTACAATCAAATAAATCGTCTTCTAAATCTTGTGGAGTGTCCCAATGAAAAACAGTAACGAATGGAGTTATACCTAATTACAATAAAAATAAATATTTCAGAGAAGATAAGTTGAATAAGAGAAAATAAATGTTTTCATAGTTAAGTGATTTGGATATATACATATATGAATGCTTTAAAATATCTTTAACAAAACAATAAAATATATGCTTTAAAATATATTTAACCATTTCTTATGAGCTCGTCGATGAGGTCATGGTAAAATTGCACACCAGCTTGACTCACTCCTTTCTCCTTTCTCCCATCTGATAAAAAACATTGTTTTGTTTCATTAATATATCAACCATCATATATACACCAAATTCCATCGACACTTAGATGTGATAAAATAAATAACTAGATATATTTGTATATCGATCGATCGATCCCTTAGCACATTTACTCACGAGGAAATATTCTTGGCCATGCGATAGACATTCTGAAAGCGTCTGTGTTTAGGTTCTTCATTAGTTGAATATCTTCCTGCAAACATTTTTCAGATGAGAATATCAACATCTAGTATAAATGGACTATTCAATAAAGGATATATATTATGATAAATAATTTCTTCAATCTTTATTAATATATACCTTATAACGATGGAAGAAATCAACGGCCACATCACCGTTATCGTTATTGCATCTCTCTGCAATTTAAAATTAAGAAAAAATATATAAAAGATTAGGTAACCCAAAAATTTCTAACTATATACAGTAGCAGTGACTGACGGGTCGGCCTGCGATAGACATTTAAGTTTGTGAGACCGCGACGGACCGGTCCGTTAGGACCGCGGGCAAAAATGATATGTCCAGACCCGCCCCGCGGGCTTAGTTTTAATATTTAAAAAATAATTAAATATAAAATTAATTTTTAAAAGTTAAAATTAACAATTTTTCAATTTTAAATAAAACTTTAGTATTACTTTTTTGTAAATTTTATAATTTGATACATTAAATTTTGTTATATGTTCATATATTTTACATATACATTTTCAAAATTATGTAAAAGTATGTATTTATTTATATTAATTATTTATTTTTATTAAATATTTGTAGTCTGCGGACCAGTCCGCAAATCCGCGGACAAAACCCGCAACAACCCGCAATCCGCCTGGACTTGTCTGCGAGGCCCGCTATTTTATGGACATAAAAAGTGATGTTCAAGTCCGCTTCACCGTGGGTTACTTGGACAAAGCTCGCGGACTATGAGCCCGCTTGACACCTCTAAGTAGCACATATAGAGAGATTTAGTAACGAAAATGTAGAGACACTCACCAGGATATCTCCTACAGTAGATGTCCCATAAAGCTGGTCCACGACAAGTTTCATTAATTGCACCTTCGACCTAATGCCATAACAAAATAGCATTCGTACGTGTTTAGGAAATGATTTAAAATTATAGGCTAATTTTTAATATACCATATTGTTAAAGTGATGTTAGGTAACTATATATTATGATACAAACTTCATTAGATATATAATTTAGCAAAGAAAAGACAAAAAAGATCAAAATACTCTTATTTTGTTACCATTGTTCTATTTTGTACTATACGTTTTCTATTCTATATATTTTTATTTGCCAAAGTTTATGTTCTACATATATTTATGTACAAAACATCGTCTTAAAAATATTGGATTCTCTACTCTTCAATATATATTGTTTTATGTTATAATATTCTATTAAACGTGATTTTAAAAATGATAAATATGGATTCAACTATAGTACTGTCTATAAGAATCTTGCATGGTAACATGTTAATTATTTGTGTGAAATAGTTCATAGATTTTGTTTATATATATGTCAAGAAGTGCTCACAGAAACTTATATTGTACCTGGTATGCCGCAGTAGCGGTGCCAAATAAAAAACCTTCAGGGAAACTTGCCCGGCTTAGTTTGGTCGAAGGCGGGCATACAGGTCCATCTGCATTTGCTGGAGAGGCGACGATGGTTAGGAGCAAAAGCAGCCCAATGAGAGGAAGCTTTTGCAAAGCCATTTTTGTTTGTAACTTTCTGATTTTCTTTTAGATAAAATGTTTAGGATGGTTCTTTCACATATCAAAGACGTTCTTTTTATAGTGATTTTCGTTCAATTATTGATCTCGCTTTATGTTTTTTTAATAATATACCAGCCAGGCCACATTAATCATTTTTTAAAAAAATTCTATTTTATATATGAAGATATCGTGTTTTCTATCATATCTTAATTACTACGTACATGGATTTTGACGTTATAGGTTGTATATTATTTTCTTTTACTTTTGATTAGACTAAAATACTGTACAGTTATTATATTTAAATAAGATGATTCATTTGCACTGGTCTAGATCTCGTTGTATTACTTTTTAATTTTTAAAATTAGAACATATAATATTCCGCGTGTCCAACGAGTGTACATATTAAAATGGGACTTTCAGTAATTTGTTGGGTACTCCAAAAAAAATGAAGCTTCTATATACTGTAATTATTGTATATGATTATTTTATTATTAACGGCCCTTAAGACCATTTAATAATAATAGCTCACATGGAATATGGTTGCACCTGCATAGAATGAGGCCGATTTTCTACAACTCCGATAATAAACAGTGGGTTTTTTTTTTCTCACTTTTTTCTTTTTTCTTAAAGGTCAAAGACCGTGGCTTATTTGTTTTCAAATTTTAAACATAAAATATATCTCGTGTTTAACGAGCTACAGTTTTAAATGCAACGATATAGGATCATCCAATGAATCATATTATGTGAATAATTTTACCAAAAAAGGTAGTAGTTAGTGAATACATTATTTACTAAATACATTAATTACTCAAGAATATAATATTCTGTATAAAATTTAATTAGTATTAGAAATAATTGAAATTTGAACAAAAATATGCAATATTGTACTCTGGATATTATTAGGTACAAATTATTTATTAAAATGTAGCTTCCATTGATTTAATTGAAGTTAAAAAAAAAAAGTTAAAATTTTGAAGGTCTCGAGACACCACAATGACTAAGGGGAGTATTAAACAGTCTTTATTAATTAATAACCAACAACACCACCTCAGGGATCTTGTTACATATTACAAACCAAACACAGAAGCAAATAAGGCCGCATCTTATAATTATTGGTAGACTCAAAGCTCGTCCTTCTTGATCTTTGATGGAGGTGTTCCTTGACTAAGGAAATGCTTGTAATACTTGGCCGATTCTTTCTCATGACGTGTCAAATTGTTCTTGTAATCGATGTAATAGAGTCCAAATCTGTGTTTGTACCCGTTTTGCCACTCGAAGTTGTCCGTCAATGCCCAATGGAAATATGAAGTAACGTTCACCCCATCCTCGCTGCAAGATTTTGCACAAAAGCTTCCATTAGAACTTCTTAATTAAACATGCATTTTTGTTAGATTTTTTTAATACAAAACTTTGATGTGTTCGTTAATCGTGCATTTTTGTTAGATTTACCGATGTAAATTTTTATATTTAAGCAAAAACAAAATGACTCACCAAATAGCCTCGTGTAAACTTAGAAGATGCCTCATAAGATAGATTCTCCTGTTGTAGTCTTTGGTGCCAAATTCGACCGA